GAACTTGTGACTGACCCAAGGTCACACCAGCAGCTGCATGCGGAGGTGTGGGGAATCAAACCCGGTTCTCCCAGATTAGAGTTCGCCGCTCTTAACCACTACATCAAACCTACCTCCTCATCCCCTGCTGGTGGCCAGGAGGGACCTGGATACCCTAGCTGTGGGAGACTGGATGGCAGGTGAGACTTCTGTGATCAGGAAAATGGCAGCATGTATGTTCCTACCTTCAGTATCCCATAAAGGAACCATTCACTGAGCTCGGGGTGATAGCGTTGAAGCGCAAAGGCTGTATTGAATGACTGCTTTGTTTACTATATGCTGAACTGATGTTATATTTAATTTGCTTTTGTTGGTTAATTGTTTATTGAGTCATTGGCTTGTGTGTGGTTTTTTAAAAGTCATTACTAGAAACCACTGGGAGGGGCAGGGTTGACTCCGTGGATTTAAATGAATGAATGAACCGATTCAAAGGCAAACGATCAACCTGGTGGCTTAAACAGGAGCTGAAATGAAACACAAACCTGCTTTTGATTCGTTTAAGGAAAGCCTCGCTGGATTAGACCAACAGTCCATCTAGCAGTTCGAAAGCAAGAAATTGCAAGTAGATAAATAGGTACCACTTCGGTGGGAAGGGAACAGCGTTCCGTGCGCCTCGGTGTTTAGTCATGCCGGCCACATGACCACGGAAACATCTTCGGACAGCGCTGGCTCTTCGGCTTTGAAACGGAGATGAGCACCGCAACCCTAGAGTCGGACTCAACTGGCTTTCGAGCAAGGGAACCTTTACCTTTACCTTACCATCTAGTCCAACATCCTGTTTCACACGTATGCAAACTGTCTAATATGCAAAGTGTACCCCTTTACTGGGACTCTGGGATACCCCTTTACACACTCTCTCTCTCTTCCCAATAAGGTCTGGTATGGATGCCAGCCTCCAGGTGGGACCTGGGAATCTCCTGCAATTGCAGCTCATCTCCAGACTACAGAGATCATTTCCCCTGGAGAAAAATGGATGCTCTGGAGCAATGTTCCCTCTAAGCTGTGGAGTCTTGTGAGCAAAAATTCTACTTTGTGAGCTACTGGCATTAAAGCTATGAGCGAGCGATTTGACAGATTTTTGTCTTCGCTCGGGAAGGATGGCTCCAGAGCAAACTGATTTATGTAGGAGCCAAATCGCTCGCTCACAACTTTTCTGCCAGTAGCTCACAAAGTAGCATTTTTGCTCACAAGTCTCCACAGCTTAGAGGGAGCCTTGCTCTGGAGGGTAGACTTTAAGGCATTGTACTCCACTGAGGTCCCCGTCCTCCCCAGGCTCCATCCCCAAATCTCCAGGAGTTTCCCAACCTGGATCTGGGAACCCTACTCCCCCATCCCCCGCTCATGGCCAGGGGGTACCTGGCTACCCTACCTACAGGCAAGGCCCAGAGGCCAAAGCCTCCCTATGCCTTTGCCACCTAGCACGTGATATTCAAAGATACACTACCCCTGAATATAGGGGTTCCATTTAGCCATCACAACAGCCACTAACAGACCTTTCCTCCCCCAGGAATGTGTCTAATCCCCACTTAAGTAAAGGTAAAGGTTTCCCTTGCTCAAAAGCCAGTCAAATCCGACTCTAGGGATGCGGTGCTCATCTCCGTTTCAAAGCCGAAGAGCCAGCACTGTCCGAAGGCATTTCCGTGGTCATGTGGCCGGCATGACTAGATGCCGAGGCGCATGGAATGCTGTGACCTTCCCACCAAAGCGGTACCTATTTATCTACTTGCAATTTCTTGCTTTCGAACTGCTAGGTTGGCAGGAGCTGGGGCCAGAGAGGGGAGCTCACTCCGTCACGCGGCACCCGGGTCTCGAACTGCCGAACTACCGACCTTCCAGCCCGCAGTTCAGCGTCTTAGCAGCTATTTCTTGTCTCTCGCAGCAGTGAATTCCAAAGTGACCTCAGTTTCCCCCACTCTGGTTTCAGAGACATCATTTGACTTCAGGAAACTTGGAAGCTGCCTTGAACTTCACAGAGCAGAAGCAATTCGCCCCAGTGAGGCATAACTCAAGTCAGCCCTGAACCCCAGGAGAGAAGATTAGAGCGCCTCCCTCCCCTCCCTCCCGGCATCTGATTGCGCAGACGGATTAGGTCAATCAGTGTTTCCTGCCAACAAAAGGGTGTGTGTTTGGGGGGGGGGCTCAGCGATCTGATTCAGAGGGGCTGTAAAGCAGCAAAGCCACATTTAGGTACCAACAGGGGGGGGGGACCAGCTGGTGGGCGGAAAACTTTCTGGAGAAGCCAGTCAAGGTGGGACACCAGCCTCCAGGTGGGGCCTGGAGATCTCCTGCTATTGCAATTGATCGCCAGATGACCAAGTTCAGTTTCCCTGGAGAAAGTGGCTGCTTTGGAGGGTGGACTCGATGGCATTATGCCCTACCAGTTTGGTGTAGTGGGTAAGTGTGCGGACTCTGGTTTGATTCCCCACTCCTCCACTTGCAGCTGCTGGATGACCTTGGGCAAGCCATAGTTCTGTCAGAGCTGTTCTTGAAAGAGCAGTCTTAGGAAGAACTCTCTCAGCCCCGCCCACCTCACAGGGTGTCTGTTGTGGGGAGGGGGAGGGAGAGGAGTTTGTAAGCCGCTCTGAGACTCCAAGGTTGGGGTATAAATCCAATCTCTTCTTCCTCCCCTCACCAAACCCCACCCTCCCCAGGCTCCGCCCCCCCACATCTCCAGGTATTTCCCAACCTGGAGTTGGCAACCACAACGCCACCACAGATTGCAAGTTGTACAGCAGAAAATCAGGAGCCCGTCTTCACATTTCCGGTGCGTTTGGCTTCCGGTGATGTGACCTTCAGTCTCATGCTCATGTACAGCACTTTCCATAGTAAGTTTTAACAGCAGATCTCTCAAAGATTGGAGGTGATGGTCAGTATGAGCCAGGACTCGAACACAGTGTTTCCTGGCCTGGGTCCCTTATCTAGGGTTACCAATATGGCTGCCAACTCCAGGTTGGGAAATTCTGGGAGATTTGGGGATGGAGCTGGGGAACGTAGGGTTTGGGGAGGGGAGGGACTCCAGTGGGGTATAATGTCATATACTCCACCCTCCAAAGCAGCCATTTTTTTCTTGGAGGAACTGGGCCCAGTTATTAATTCTGGGAGAACTCCAGGCCCCACCTGGAGACTGGCAACCATAGTTACTGAGGGTAAAACTTCTATCAGGGAATTCTGGGAATTGTAGTCCTGTGACTTGGGCTAGTGATCTGTAACAGAAGTTCCAGGGTTGCCAGCTCTCGGGAAATACCTGGAGATGTAGGGGGTGTAGCCTGAGGAGGGCGGGATTTGGGGAGATAAGGGACCTCGTTGGGATATAATGCCATACAGGCCACCCTCCAAAGCAGCCATTTTCTTTGGGAGACCTGATTTCTGTTACCTGGAGATCAGTTGTAATTCTGGGAGATCTCCAGCCCCCACCGGGAGGCTGGCAACCATAAACCGAACCCTGTTTTCTCCCTGAACTACACTTTTCTTTGGCAGGCTGGGCAATCAGTAAAAGCAATACCTGTGGCCCACTGGTCCAATTTTAGCTGTTTCTTAGCTTTTGCCTATTGAGACTTCTTCACACACTGCTTTTTAAAGATATCCACTTAAAAAGGTTCATTTGTCCACCTAAAATGTGTGCATATGGAAAGCAAGCATCACACAGAAATTCTCGCCTAGGATTTGTGAACAGAGATTTCTCTCCGGGCTGAACTATGATCAGTTGCCATGAAATGTGTGCAAATACTTTTAGGCAGGGCTCTTTTTGTAGAAAAAGCCCAGCAAGAACTCATTAGCATATTAGGCCACACCCTGACAGCATCACTCATTAGCCCATTAGGCCACACCACCATGTTACCAGAAGTGTGGTCATCCAGCCACACCCACCTTTCCCTTCTTATTCTGTTTACCTTAACTTTTAGGCAGGGCTCTTTTTGTAGAAAAAGCCCAGCAAGAACTCATTAGCATATTAGGCCACACCCTGACAGCATCACTCATTAGCCCATTAGGCCACACCACCATGTTACCAGAAGTGTGGTCATCCAGCCACACCCACCTTTCCCTTCTTATTCTGTTTACCTTGTTTGTTCTCAAAACCCAGGGCTTTTTAAACTCCTTTGCATGTTATGCCACACACCCCTAATGTAGCCAATCCTAATGACTTTCTGCTATTGGGTGTG